GAAAAACTCCCTCGTGCATTTAACCCTTCGGGGCCGGGCGCGCAAAAAGGAGGTGTGACAGCTAGACACACCCCTTAAAAAGTAATTAATAAAAGGGTATTTTTACTATATCAATCCCAACTATAATAACTAAGTCATCTAAATAATTTAAACCATTCAAACATAAAAGTTGCAGCTAACCAACAGTCAGTTCAAGTTTTCAACCAAATAATTGAATAGTGATTTTATCACTTTCACTTATTCCCCATAAAATATAAGTTTGGAGCCCAAAAATTTACCTTTTCTTCATCTTATTATACAATTTTTTAAAAAGTTTTCCACCAAAATAACCGTTTTATATCTGTTTAGAGAGTTTTCGCAAAGGTATAGCTACAAAATTTTTTTACGAAATTCCATTGAACAAGTTAACTGGATCTAAATATACATGCTGAACCCGATGGATTATTGTGTTACACAACATGTATTGGATCTCAAGAAACTAGTGTGGAGGGATATTGCCTAATACACTTATTAAATTTTCAATAAGTTTAACAAGAAGCATAAGTAATCCATACATATATAGATTAGTTGGGATAATGGAGGGATGTTGTCGGATGCATTTTATCAACTATTGAAAAACTAAATAGTAGTACTTAATAATACGGGAAAGGTATAAAATGGTATATTATCTTTTGGTTTTCCAAATTGAACAAGTAAAAATGGACATTTGTTTTAGTATAGTGGACAAGTAAAACTAGATGGAGGTAGGGGTGTCAATGGATATTCGAAAACCGACTAAACCGACCGAACCGTGCCGCACTGAACCGATTTTTAGGTCTCTTCTTAAAACCGTAGTGTTTTTATATAAATCTATAACTGCACCGATAATTAGGGTAGGTTTTTTATTTTATAAAAATAAACCAAAAAAAAACCGAACCGTACCGAATAAATTTTACATGTAGAAAATATATTTATTTAATAAGTTTATAAATAATAATGCATTAAATTATCTTTGAGCCTTGGAATTATGAAAACTATTACAAGCCAACAAGTAATTAAACTCAAAATACTAATTCCTAAAACTTATTATGCTACTTCTACTTAAACTAAGTTATTGCAAATATCTTTATTAGCAAGACACCAAGTATTCTAGCAATTAGGAGTAACAAACTACAATGTATTGAATATGTTTCCTTTCATATAATTTAGATTTATCTTTTTGAATATTTAATCTTCTATAGACTTTATTCTTGAGTCCCAGCTTGGTATATCTTTCAACTCGTGTGATTAATATTTTCTTTGCTTTTGTTTGATTTCTTTTACGCTGTTGTAGAATAGTTGATGGATCTATACTCTAGTCATATTTCCTTTTTTTTAATTCATCACCCTTTAAACAATAAAAATGTCTAGAAAGTTTTGCTAAGTCCTATAAAAGAACGTACGTTATTGCAATTCTACTTCTACTAGTGAATTTTACATGATATTAAAAAAATACCGAAAATTAACCGAACCCTACCGATACCGAAGAGAAACCGACATGATTGAGACGGTTTCGAAAAGTCTAATTTTTGTTATACATAATAGAATAACCGAAAAATTGGTATGGTACAAATTTTATAAAATAGCCGACCGAACCGAACCATTGACACCCCTGGATGGAGGGAGTAGTTTTTAAGTTTCTAAAATGGTTCAGCAAGAAAGTTTTGTACAATAAAGTGACTTAATTCCTACTCCTGAACTTTTCAGATTATGTGATGCTCCTTTAATTTAGTTATTGTCTTAACGAACAATATTTTAAAACGGATTTGAAGGAATGTTTTGAAATTTGTATCTCTAAGATTTTACGTACTAATTGAGAAATGTGTTGTCTCAAGATAATTTAGGAGGAGCAATGGGCGGGTCGGGTTGGATATGGTTCAGGTCGAAAACGGGTAATAAAAAAATGGATAATTTATCCAATCCGACCCATATCTAATACAGATAAAAATGGGTTAACCGACAGATAATATAGTTATATCTATGACTTCTTGAATATGAACACTTTTGGGAGAATTCCTAGTTTCCCAAATTTAAGGAACCCCTATTTGAGGCTTTACAAAATGTAAAATTTAAACTCATTAGTTATTCATTGGTTACCCATTAGTTATCCATTTTCTAAATGGATAATATGGTTCTTATCCATATTTGACCCATTTTTAAAAAGTTCATTATCTAATCTATTTTTTAGTGGATAATATGGATGATTAACTGTTTTCTTTTAACCATTTTGTCACCCTACTCAGGATGCACTAATCGGAATGTGTACGAGTTTAGAAGTATAAATTATGGTCAGTGGGAAGAATTATAAGAAGTCTCTCAAAAGATGCAATAATTTCAGTATCTTTTAATGTAATTTCACTTAATCACGACCTAATATTGTTGATATCATTCACTAGCCAGCTTTCACAACGTGCAATTCTAATATATAGCGACCTAAGGAATAGCTAAAACCATATTTCTTTTTCTGCAAAACAATTTTATTCTAAACCATGCAATAATACGTAAGTGCGTAACATACAAACAAAAAATAAAAACGAGTAACGTGTAAAAAATGAACATATATATTTCCTCAATAACAAGCAAATTAAACTATTTCCACTACCAACAAACAGAAGCAGTTTGAAGGAAAGAATGGAAGTTAAAATGGAGTTAAGACATTATTATATAGGATGCTACTTTGTTTTAGCCCCAGATTTTCGAAACATTTTGTTCTGCTTGAACATCTTGACTTGCTAAATTTAACAAGCTAATTTTATCCACGGTCATTGAACTTTTGTGTTTGTTACCCAAAAGTCATTTTTCTTTTTTTTTGTTACGTAAAAGTCATTCAACTTTGTGTTTATTACACAAAAGTCACTTTTCTTTCTTTTGTTACACAAAAATCATTTTACTTTGCTCTAATCATCACAAAAGTCACATTTTTACTTGAAAAGTCTATTATGCCCTTGATATTATATAAACCTTCATATTTATGTAATACTTTCTATTTTATATACTATATAATATATTTTTAACTATGTATTTTATTTATAAATAAAATAACTTAATATTATTTTATTTATTATTTTTATAATATATTCGTATATTTAATTTTTTCTTAACGTTAATTTTCAAAATATATTAGTAGTGTTATTAAATTTGTCAGTAACTTTAATATATATTAGTAGAGAAATAAATCGCCAAGTACATTTCCGTGAGAAAATTCGCAGGTAAACAAACAAAGAAAATGAGGAACAAATCATATGTTAATCTGAAGGAAAATCCCTAGGTACTACATGCAAAATTTAGCTGGGGATATTTTTTGGGAATTTACCTGGGCAATTGGTTATTTGGAAAATTACACTACTAGAAATTCGGAAAAACTGTCCAAACAAATCGACCAAAGTTGGTTGGTAATGGCCAATAACTGTCCAAAACGCGACCATTAACGTGTGATCGGCATTTTGAAGGTCGGAAGGGCATACAGACCAAAGTTGGTCGGTAATTTCCGATTAACTTTGGTCGGTCCTTTAAATTTAAAAAAAAAAAGAATTGCTGAAAAAAAGTTATTTTTTAACGCTACTAATATATCTTGAAAATTATAGTTATGTAAAAAATTAAATATACGAATATATTATAAAAATAATAAATAAAATAATATTAAGTTACTTTATTTATAAATCAAATACATAGTTAAAATATATTATATAGTATATAATATAGAAGGTATTACATAAATATGAAGGTTTAAAATATCAAGGGCATAATAGACTTTTCAAGTAAAAATGTGACTTTTGTGATAATTAGAGCAAAGTAAAATAATTTTTGTGTAACAAAAGAAAGAAAAATGAATTTTGTGTAATGAACACAAAATTGAATGATTTTTACTTAACAAAACAAAAAAACCTGACTTTTAAGTAACAAACACAAAAGTTCAATGGTCATGGAAAAAATTATCTCAAATTTAACTCTTCTCAAACTTCAATCCAGCAACAAATGGTTCGTCATATTCTTTTATCAATCTCCTAGCCCTGGCTTAACTCATCATCACTGGTGGATCTAATCGGATCTTGTCTAGCCTATTTACGTACATCTGTATAAACTTGATGGGTCAGTTGCTAAGTCAACAATAGATTTAAGCTCATCCCATTTCCCATCACTAAACAACTCCTCCTCCTCACCATTACTTGTGTTCCAAAAGCTTGAGCTGGATGATGTGAATGGATGTTGTTGATAGAAATGAGGGTTTCTTTCATCCATTAAATTGTCATCACCATTATTGTTTTCTTGTTGAAATGACATTTGTTTAAAGTTGGTGGAGTGGTCACCACTGTTTTCAGATTCAAGGCTACATGCTTTAGGACTTGCATCCCCAAAGCTTAGTGAAACTAAGGGATATTTCCCTTCTGGTGTGTATCTCCTGTAATTGGAGGTCCTCTTGAATATTCTACATAGTGTCCAAACTTCCTGCAATTAAGATTTATTAGCTATTAATACTGTCACACCTCCTTTTTGCGCGCCCGCCCCGAAGGGTAAGATGCGCGAGGGGAGTTTTTCCAATTTAAGTGACAATATTCGAAATGTGATTATTTATTTAATTCAGAGTCGCCACTTGGGAAAGGTTTGACTTTTGGTGTCCCAAGTCACCGGTTTATCTTGAATCCCAAATCGAGGAAATTTTCGACTTTTCCAAATGAAGTCTGCGAACCAGAAATTCTAAGTAAGGAATTCTGTTGACCCGAGGGAAGGTGTTAGGCACCCTCGAATCCCGTGGTTCTAGCACGGTCGCTTAAATTGTTATAANTCAATGCACCCGTGATCGTCAACACATTTTGACTCCGTTGAGATTTGGATTTGGGTCGCATCAATGTGCACCCGAATTTAAGAATGTAATTCAATTAAGCCGCGCCTAAAAGGCCTAACGCGTTATGATCTTTGGGAAAGGCCATGAAATTCACTAAACGGCCTGTCCCGAATTCTAAATATTTATTATGTTTAGTTATTGAGGGCCCCGCAATTGGCATTTTTATTTGGCGAGGCTCATCTCATTATTTTAGAAAAGGATATCCTGAAGCGACTACATTTCTATTACATTTGTCTCTAAAAATAAAAAGAGAAAGATACCAAACTTACTTGTTTAAACGACTAACATACTAAATCTCGACTATGTGGGACGAGTCCAGATTTTGCTTGATTACCTAATTGGTTGCTTATGAGGTGAGAATTATTTCATGCCTTGTCTTCAAAGAGTGAATAAGCTTTGTTAATTTGATAAGGGAGATTGTAAGCAAACAAATAACACATACTAAATTTAACATTAAACAAACCTTAAGTTTGAATTTCAAAATTAACTTATTTA